CTATATCCATAAATCCAGCAGATAGCCAGCTTAAACCTGGACGGTGGAGATTAAAGCAGTCAATTAAAACAAGCAGCACCTGATGGTAAGCCGACTGGCTATGGAAGGGAGAGGAGGAAGTGTCACGGTGGCTTCCACATCTCTAATTTCTTTACGTGGGACAATCAGGATGTCATAGTCAGAGGTAGGAAGCGGTAGAACAAGCCCGTATGAATGGAAGTGGGTAAGTTTTCTTTATTATTAATTGGTTTATTGATGTATTGTCTTATATACATATAAATTCTCTATATAAAACATTTCGCATCTGCATGTGTATGTACATGTTTGTGTGTTCACATGTATCTGTATGGTTGTAGGAGACAGACGTCTCTGGTGAGCAGATTATCATTTGGCGCTAGCCTTCTTGCCTTATTTGTTTTCCATTATAGTAAGTGGGTGTGTGTAAGTGTGTGTGTGTGGTCCAATATCAATGATGTGTTAATTGTCTTCACATGTACGGTAAGATGAAACACTAAAGAAAGTGCTTACCTGGGTCCTTTCGTTTGGAATAGCCTTTTAAACTAGCTAATTCCATTGTACCCTCTAAAACCCAATTAGACACCAAATATCCTTTCATATCACTGATGCGTATATTTTAAGCTTATGACAATTTCAATTTTTAAAATTTTTATACTTTTGACAGTAAAGTCCAAATTACTCAGAGTCAGGAAATGGCATTTATGTTCATTTCTATCTCCTCAGTGGTAGCACAGCATTTGCCATATGGCTGATGGGTCATGGAAAAATGATGTGACTTTTTTAGGGCTGTGCACTTAATGATAGCATAGCCCAGTCACTCACTCTGTACCTCCCTCTTTGTCTGCCTGCCACCCTGATTTTAGGTAGGTATTGAAATCCATGATTGTTAATGTTCAGGATGCTTCTTAGTCAAGGATGTGAAGAACAGTTGGAACCATTTTCCATGACTTCGGAAAAATGACAGTAGTGAATGAGAAATGTGTTGTCAACTTTTGAACTTAGAATTACTTTGAGATTTTATAAAACCTCATGCAGGCATCACTCAACCCCCATCAGAGAAGCTTTGCACTAGACAGGAATTAACAAACAGATCCATAACTGGACAACGTGCATACTATAAGAGATTTTGGAGTACCCCCTCCTGAATGGGATGTCATCAAGCCCCTCCCCACATGGCTCCAGTGTCTATGAGGAATAGGAGACATAAAGATCATAAGAGCAAATGGTGGAGGACTCCAAAGAAACAGTATTTCCCAGACACAACAGGACTGGCGCACATATGAACTCAGATATTATGACAGTTTGTGCAAAACCTATACAGGCTTTAACTGGAATTATCCATAAAGTTTCATAACTAGCTAAGAAGCTATTTGCAATGGATACATACTAAGAAAAGGAAAATCAGTTTTCTTCAATAGTGTCACTGGGTATATGAATTATATTCCAGTGCAGGCCCCATGGACAGGAGTAGTTGGCCAATACAATACAAAAGATACTCCTTGTTTTTCTTTTGTTTGGGGATTTGTTGTTGTTGTTTGGGGGGGATTAGTGTGTGTGTGTGTGTGTGTATGAGCGCATGCGCGCCCATGCTTTTTTATTTATTTATTTATTTATTTTATTTTATTTTATTTTTTGTATTCCCAATTTCCTTTCTTTTTAGTATGTTTGTCTGTTTTGATTTTCAATTTTTGTTTTTTGGCTTTTTCCCTGATGTTTTTTTTTTGGGAGAGAAAGAGAAAGAGAGAGAGAGAGAGAGAGAGAGAGAGAGAGAGAGAGAGAACATGGAGAAAATCAAGAAGGAGTTGACGGAGAGGTATATATATACATATGTGTATATATATATATATATGTGTATATATATATATATATATGATCAAAATGCATTGCCTGAAAATAATTAAATTAGCAACAATAAAAAAAAAACACTTTCTCAGGGACATTTGACAATGAGAAGGGTAGATTGCCATGCTGTCTGAAGTAAACCATTTGTTGTGTACTTATAAAATCAGAATTAGAAAGAGGAAAAATGTAATTGTGACCAATGCGAGGATGGTCAATAAGATTTGCCTGAACACTTTCGCTGGCAGCAAGAATCAGCATTCTGAGGCTCTGATGGCACTCTTTAAAATCAGTCTGCAGTTCTGCTGGGGCTATGGAGGAAGAGGACTCCCTTCTCACACCTAGAAATACCTTCTCTGTACTGATGGGAAAATCCTTGGCCACTCTGCATATCTGTATCCAAGCATGACCACATATCCAACCACTGTGAGGGAGTAAAAATTGGTACTGCAAAATATCAAACTATAATTTTCAAACAGTTAAAAAATAGAATTCTTTTTTGATTTTTTGTTTGCTTGTTTGTTTGTTTGTTTGTTTGTTGAGATAAGACCTCTGTCTAGCCTACGCATTGAACTCTTGGCAATCCTTCTTCCTCAACTTCTCAAGTGCTTGGATTGATGGCATGACCTAGTGTGTCTAGTTAAAATACAGTTCTTCCATTAATATAAAATTAGCATATGTGTAAGGTTTATTTACTTGGCTGATGATGAGAGAAACAGGATGGTAAAGCTGGTTGGTACTAAGACAAATGCAAGAAAGCAAATTAATGCAGGTATAGCCAGTGGGACACATACCAGGGTGAGGTTGTTAAATTAGGTATCTAGGTTGTTAAATATGGCCAGTTAATGTTTCACAGGCCAATACAAGCATGTGCTTAAGGTTATCTTCTTTGGGGGGCATGACTTTACATGATCTTTTCTACATAGAAAGCATTTGTGCTTCCTATCAGTTTTCTACAAGCTATATCTAATTTCGCCACCTCTGAGTCTTCATCAATAGCACGTGACAATGTTCCATCCAAGAGGGCCAGATAGGCATTAACAGCCATTTTTGTCTACTTTCCAAGTTTTGAATAAATTTTATTAACAAAAGCACAACAGAAAAAGAAATATTATATAAATTGGAATGCCATGCCCCAAACATGCCTCCAAGGAATAAAGAGAAACGGGGATGGCTGGGAAGAAAGGGAAAGGGATCTAGGCTTCATAGATGGTTTTAAAAATAGCCTTCTAACTGATGGTGGAGACTTGTTCTGTTAAGAAAATAATTGGCCTTGTCTGACATCTGTTGACTGGTCTCTTGCTGAAGCAAATGTGAATGGAGGCCTTCTGATCTGTGTCAGCTGCTGATTAAGCTGTACAATTTGAAAGGCATTTCACCTGCTTGCTTTGTTCCTTCAGCCATGGAATTTCACTTTGTACATTTACGTATGTTCCGTGCACTGTGTTAGGTACTGAGGATGTCACAGAATAAAGAAGCATCATTTCCACACTCATCCTGTCCACATTTTGTAATAGTTGAGATAGATGAAAGAGCAAATAAATACAAAGGATCATAGTGAGTTATGAGAGTGCTTTCATTCTGTGAAGGAGAAACAGGATGAAGAACCAGTTTTGAGAATGTTGGACATTGAGAATTCAATGAAGAGTCTTAAGCAAAGGCGTAAGTGGTGAGAAGGTGCCATATGCAGAACCAAGGGAAGAATGTTTGAGATCCATCAGTTCAAAGACCACGATATTACAAAATGTCCTCCATATTCTAGAAGTCACTCAAACTCCAGAGTGTAAGGGCCAGGAACAAGGGAGTGAATAGCATAAGGAAAAACTGAAAAGACAGACCAAGATTGTCAAGAGCTCTGCAGACAAAAATATATGAATTTATCTTTTTTAGCCCTTGAGGGATTCTTGAAGTTACTATGTAAAACTATATATATATATATATATATATATATATATATATATATATATATAT